CTGTCGATCGGTTTACATATATGAAATGCGACGTATCACGCAACCGTGGCTTCCCTACAGCTGACCAATTACTTCGATACATTTAAAAACGCTATTAACAATACAATTTTTTTTCTTTTCCGTTCGTTCTCGTAGTAAAAGTTAATAGAGAATAGTATAACATCGAATAGAAGAGTATAAAGAACCATGCTGGCGTATAGAGATAGACATTAAAGTAGGTAATAGGTAAGAGGACAATAGATTACGATATCGATAATCCGTAATAACTTTTCACCATTTTTTTTTTTTTTTAGTTTACCTCGTTTTAAGAGTAAATTCCTCGCGTTAAACGTTGATGATCATTTAGTAGACTTTTTTTCTCTTTAATACAGTATTTTGAGCACATTCCTCAGGTGTATAACCACGCTACACTTTCTTCACCGAGTTGTACCAATATATCCCCATAGTTTTAATTCTTGTTCAATCGATCGCGAATCAACGTCGCGACATTTACCGGTCACGGAAACAAAGAATAAGCGAATAAGAAGAAAATATATGAAAACGTCGCTTATAGGAACCGAAGACACGAACCACGAAAAAAATCAATAAATAATTTTATATAATGGTAAAAGAAAAATGTATTTTAAGGAGGCTTCAATTACACATTTGAACAGTAATCATTAATAAATAATTTGCCTAAGATAACATTCATCCGTTCCGATCGAAACTAAACAAATTCATTCGTTGAAAATGAATTTTCGAAGCACGAACTTAAAAGCACGCGGAATAACGGTCTCTCGCATTGTCGAAAAATAAAACTTAAATTTTTACGTGAACGTTTATGCTGTTTAAACGAGAAACAAAAATACTTGTACTAGGATAAACGTATTCCGTTCGATTGTTCATCACCATTCACTCGATGTTACCACTCGATCAAATGGCAGTACAATATCGGTACAACTCACTAGTTGATGGCACGGGTCCGCCTATGTACAAATACGTAATACCATATACCACATACCATTTAAATACATCACATATTTATCATTTTTTCTTGTTATATATATATACTCTCCATACAGATATACTCTTTTCTGTGACGTGGAGGGACTCGTTTGTACAATTCATGCATATCTTCGTTACTGTTTCATTGCTTCGTTTGTCGTGCCTTCCCTAAGTTTCTGAGCGATCGGCCACCGGCGCCATTTTCGATTCGTCCGCGTCGTTTCAAATCCAGAGTGTCATTGTAATAAAAGTAACCAAAGCGTATTACAAATTCTTCTAACGAAAGAACGAAAGTTAATCTAAGCATATTTATAATTTTAATCCACATAAAAATTACTATCTTAAGTACAAAATTGTTATCGTTCTTCCATAAACTTGTAACGCAATCAATGAACTAAGATTTAGCTCCTTAACTGTTTTACAAGAAGTACAATTTAAAAAGATTGCTTTTCGAATGCTTGATAGGAATTCACAAAAGATTGAATTTTACTAAACCTCTGGATTTGACCGCAAACTGCTTCGATGCTATCGCTTGTTTTTCCTCGTTATCACTAACTACGCCGTTTTCCTCGAATCTCTAAGTCTGATTAAGATTAGATACAATAATAATTATATTAGTAGAAACTTAGTTTCCGTAACAAGTGTATTGTCTTAAATGATATGTCTGCTAATCTTGTTTCATCTTCAACTTCACGCCGTACCCGGGCCGCGTATAACAGTTTCGCTCCTTAAATGAACTTATTTTTAAGAATCGACCGTCTAGGATATTTACTTTATAGTTAATATAGATTTCTAGAGGTTACGCTCTCGACAATGCCGGTGGCCGTTCGCTCAGAGTTCACAAGATCGTTCTTCTATGTGTCACAAAGAAGTATTCCCATGGGCCGTAAACATCTATTCTAATAACTTGAAAATCATCCAAAATTGGAACGCATACGTGAAACACCATCAATTATTCGAAACTAATTCGTTTAACGTTTCGATCGAATTTTTGAAACTGATACAATTTTCGTTTCTTCTCGTGGTATATGAGAATCAAAATGTCTTCGTTCCTGTGCGTTTCATCGTAAATTTCGACAGATAGAACAGTGCCCTTGGTCATACGCCTTTAAATCGGTATGTTTCGCCTGCAAATGAATCGTATTACCGCGAACATGTCTGGCCGGAACGTTTTTTTTGTTGGTTAAGATCGCGTATTACATTTTTTTTTTCGCAAGTCGTGTGGTTTGGGTTCGGATGGGTGGGCGGGGAGAGAAGAGACGGGATTGGGGAAGTTGTGAAACGTCGAAACACAACAAGACACACATAAAGACAGACGATTCTCGGAGCTTAAAATCCAACAGGTCTCCTCGAACAGCCGAAAGGACAGGTTATCTCCTTCGTTTCTTTCGCTCATCATTGTCTGGCGTCATACATCAGACACTCGCTCGCGAACGTAGTCTTTATCTCACAGACTAAAAAACAAGTGGAAGATTTAAAGCCATCCCTACATGTTTTTCTTCTTCGTAGTCTCTCTCATTAAAACTTGGCAGATTCTTTAAAGCATCCTCAGTCGCTTGCGTTTTACACGTGAAAAGTTTAAAAAGTTAAAATGTATATTTCGTGATTTACTCTTTTTTTCCCCCTTTAATTAGGTAAAAGTTAATAAGAAGAAGAGTGTTAACAATAACAATAGTTTTTTAAAGGTAGAGTCAGAGCAGCTACGAATGACGAGACGCTTGAACGACAACACGGAATGTCGAGCGGAAACGTTAACGGAGTTGGTAAAATTGTTCGAATCTGTTGTGAATTGAATTCGTTTGAAATTCGTTGAAAAGTTTTTGATAATTTTCGAATTTCATCGGGAATGATGTTCCTATATATATTTATATATACATATATAAAACGTAGACAACAATGTTTTTAAGCTTTTCATCACTCAATCGATATTTCACATTGAAAGTTAAATAAACAGAATACAAGTAATCACTTTGAATATTCGATACTTTAATACAATTCAGTTTTCTTTTTAACGAATTCGAATGAAAATAAGAAAAATAATGCTTTAATAGACGAAACAAACAGTTTGCAACATAAATAAATATAAACAATTGTTCAAGGCACCTTACATACAGGAACATCGTTGCCTCTCGTCAAAAACTAAACGATCGAACTTGGAGGTCTCGCGATCCGCCATTGTTCTTCCAAGAGTTTCGCCATGTACATAGTCCCTAGTAAGGTAGAAAATCAAGCCAAGTATATATATTTTATTTCTATATAGATCCCTCCTAAAACAACCTAAAACCTAGCCTACGTATTTTTTCATTAAAATTCATTGTGAATTGTACATACAGACACTGATGTTAAATATGTACAGACATGTACACCCATTATGTACATATAGAGCCGTGATCTAATGATTCGTTAGTCGAATAATATCTCTTCCTCTTTTAATAAACATTTTCTCTTTCTCTCGCTTTCATTTTCTTGCTCTCTCTTTCTACTTCTCGTGTCTGCCCTCGGTGAACGATTATGTATATAATGTATTCATGGCTGTATGTATAATCATTATGTTACATTCGGTCGTCGACGAAATCGGTCCGGGTTCGTCACCGAAGTGAAACTTGAACAACTTTGTCTCCATTCTAGAGAACTAATTCCACACTAAGCTACGAATCATTTTCCTCAATTACATCGATCTGATCGCGCACTTATCGAGACTTTTCTCAATACTCTAATGATATTTAAACTAAGTAGAACTAGAGCGAACGTGCAACAAGTTGTGTATCCTCATAGAATTCTAGGAACTTCTTGCGAACGATTCACCGTTATCACGAGAAAATACTTGAAACGAATCTCGAATCCAAGTACACCCCGTTTCGAATTTTCACCTAACATGTTTCTATATCGCTTTTCAAACGGCGTTCGGTTCGCAAGCCGGCCCCGTAGAGAATAAATAAATAAAAAAGAAAAAGAAAAACGTGAACAAAAAGAGCAATTCTAAAACAAGTGAACGAATGATAAAGAGGCAACAGGTAACAGTAATGTCTTGTGGCACAATCTGGGAACATCTCTCGCGTGCGAATAGTAATTAGGTACATCGAAAACCGCGATTATAACGTTACAGCAATCATTCGTTAGGTAAATCTCCTCTCGCTTAAATTAGTTCCTGCTGTCGCGTAACTTTTAATTTACAACCCTCTTTGCCTTATCCTCTATGCGTCGAACCGCGTCGGCTGCGTCCGCTCTTCTAGGCCATAATAGTTCGTCGATGAAGGTGTCCGTGATCTCGTTACAATTGGAAAACACAAAACTCGAACGGAAAACAAAGACGAAAATCTTGCACGTTCGATTCAGGCGTACATCGACGGTCCCGTGCCGTCGACGAGCCTGTGTCGCGGACTACGTTCTGTCCCATGACAGAAAAACGGAACTTTCCGTTACCCTGTCTCCTTGCTGAACAGAGCTTCTTCCATTACGACAACTGCGCGCGCACGCAACGCCATCTGTCGCCGTGTCCCGTTCACGATACCGCACATGAAAAGATAAAATTCATCCTCGCTTACGGTCCACGGCTACAGAGACGTTGTTATTATTGTGATGGTGGTTTCTGCCATTTGTGTCCCGGCGCACGCTTAGATTCGCAGCAAGAATTCGCGATAGGTAATCTTAGTATGGCTGGCCTGGGGCAAAGAACTCGCGGGATTTCGCTTCGTTCAGGTCCATAGCGCGTACAAGAGGTATTCTCGTTTTGGAACTATCTATCGTGGAAGTCTTCGGTTTTTCATATTTTTTTTTTCTCTAACGTTCGCCCTGGTCCCCGCGTGTGGTGACGGACGACACGCTGCTCGGCTCGGTGGAACGAGCTTTCCACGTGGGTGGTAATAATCGTGCTCGCACGATCCCCCATCCGATCTCCTTTCTTGTGATCGCGGTTGTATAAGTGCCTGCCTATATAATTCACGCGACCGTATTATCTTTTGTTACTTGTTTTCTATTCGTTAAGGTAACTTAAGTTTAACCGGTTCGGCCTCGTCCTATGGTGGCCTGAGCCGCGTCGGGTTGTGCCATAAATGCGCCGTGCTCTGAGCCCCGGCCTCGCCGTTGCTGGGAGGCAGTGGCTGCTGATTGCTGAAGTCTGGTGTCTGCGGTGAAACGCTGCTTAACGTTTGCTGCTGCTGCTGCTGTGACTGCTGTAGTTGCAACTGCTGTTGTTGGCGCTGTTGCTGCTGCTGGTGGCTGGACTGCTGTTGCGACTGCTGCGACCTCGTTTGCTGCTGCTGCACCGGCCGCTTAGATTCCTGACCCGTTGAATCGGGAGATGGCACTGGCCTGTGAGATTTCATGTGGGCGCTTCTGCTTTTCACTTTGTTGAAAACTCTGGAAGGAACATCGAGAGATACATTGGACGGCTGTTGTATTCGGTGGGATCGGGAGTAGTTGAAACGATGCTTTGTATCGGTAGCATACGGACTATGGTCGGAGATAGTATACAGGGTTGGATCGGTTGTATTGATAGAATAAATGATGTATATGATGAATAGTTTCTGCTCCTTTATTTAGGTTGAAATGTTACGTATGTTTTAAGTGGATTGTTTGCTATTTGCGGTGGTTTCGCAGAGCATTCGGCGAGCATGGCTTTGTGTTTGTGGTTGCGATTACAACGATATCACGTATCAACATTGAGCTAATTAGTGACGGATCATGCGTATGATATGCTGTAATATTAAGTATTGATTCTATGCAGGCGGTTTAAACATTTACTAGCTGGTTGGCTCGTTTCGACGTGTTATGAATAATTAGAGTGGAAAGATTGCAGCTTACGAAAATAAACGTTTGAAATACGTTGCGGGATTTATTATTGATGTAGAGACCATCAGGTAACTGAAATTTGGAAAAGAAATTACCGATGACCGAGCAAATTAAGTGTAACAACTTGCATAATAAACGTTTAAGAGAAATTTTGGACAATATACCATTGTCAAAAACGAACAGAACATTTTTTGGTATTATTACAATAGCTGTTTCATTTTTTGTCTCTACATAAGGTACATATAGAGATAATTAAACTTAACATACTACTATATAAAGAACAGTTTACATCTGAATGATGCAAAATAAAAAACGTAAACATCTATAGGGAATTGTAAAGTCTGATAATTTCTAAAATACAGGGTAGGGCAATAACTATGTCCACTTTGAATATTGCCGTTATTTGTAATAATATGAACAAATGTTATATACAAAACTTACACGGTATAGAGGTGGGCATATTGTGACATGAACCTTTTCTGCGTAGGTGAAGGTATAGAGGAGATTTCAAGGTCATCTTTTTTTTTTTAATGGAATGCTATGTTTTTTTTATTGCGATGTGATAGCCAGTCTTGAGACGATTTCAGCGAGCTATCATTGAAGGTCATGCAAGGTCAAATGTGGTAGTAAAATAAACTTTCTTACATTACAGGAGATGCTCGAAGTGGTGACCGTTTGCGTCAATGCAAAGTTGCAGTCTTATCATTTCTGAACTTATTCTAGCACATGATGTATTATTTCATAGGGGACTTTATTAGAAAATGTACCACTAAACGTTCGCCAAATGATGTGGTTACAGCACGACAGGTGTCCAGCACATTATGCTCGGAGAGTAAGAGATGCACTGAACGAACTTTACCCAAATAAATGGATAGGACATGGAGGATTAGTTTCTTGGCCACTTCATTCTCCACATTTAACCCCATTATATTTTTTTCTCTGTGGAGCATTGAAAAATGCCGTTTATCAAGAAGTACCCACTACACTAGAAAATATGAAACAACGGATAATTGCAGCATGTGCTAGAATAAGTTCAGAAACGATAAGACATACATGTGATGCAGCGATACGAAGATTGCAACTTTGCATTGACGGAAACGGTCACCACTTCGAGCATCTCCTGTAATGTAAGAAAGTTTATTTTACTACTACATTTGACCTTGCATGACCTTCAATGATAGCTCGCTGAAGTCGTCTCAACACCGGCTATCACATCACCATAAAAAAACAGCATTCTAATAAAAAAAATAGAGATGGATGATCTTGAAATTTCCTATATGCCTTCACCCACGCAGAAAATGTTTGTGTCACAATATGCCCCCCTCCATACCGTGTAAATTGTGTATATAACATTTTTTCATATTATTACAACTAACGGCAATATTCAAAGTGGACATAGTTATTGTCCCACCTTGTATATCCAACTTGCTGCCAGAGAATATTGTCTATGTATTGTGTTAAGAAATAAGTCAAACATCGATTAGAAAGCCACGTTGTTGTGAAATATATCAGCAGCAAATAGGATGCAAGCATAGCTACGAGTCATTCTGTGAAGGTATGTATGTTATACAAAGTGTTAATAAATGTCAGAGAAAAGATTTATAATCATTTTTGCATATCAATGTTAAGCCTTTCATATTTTGACTTGGTTCCACGTTTAACCACTTTATGTCGTCTAAAATTTTTATTTCCACTTTTAATGAAATTTGAACTAAGAAATAACTGCTGCCAAAACTGAAAAATCTTCTACGTTTTCTACGAAATTACGTCAAGTTTATAATTTATTTCGTCATCTGTTTCTCAAACTTTAATGAGGAGACGTTCTTGTAAATATTTTGCAAAAATATATTCAGACATGTTGACTCGTACATGTAATTTAGTTTAATGTAGCCTACATCTCTATCTATACTTCGATATCGGTGTTAATATTTTTTCAATTGGAATCTTCAAATATCCGAATTATTCCACAATTTTCAATACAGTAAAACATCTTCCAGCTTCTACGTCAAGAATTTTCGAAGTGTTCTGTTGAGCATCCTACGTTACTTTTACTTTCACTTATTGTTGACATGTAACAGGAAATTAACAAAAAAATCTAACCGATGATAGCCCTCCCAGATAAGTCAATAATAAATATTTGACACACGAAAATTAGGTTTTTAATATTTATACCCTTTTAGAACGTATAAATTTTAATTTAAAAAATCGGAAACATTTAATTAATTAAATTGAAAAGACAAAAAAACAGATTGCACCAGTGTTTGAACAATATGAAGCACATAAAAGAACATTTCTAACCAATAGCACAAAAATTGTTTGAACATGAAGCAAGGAGTTGAAAAAAAAATCAAAGCCCTGAAATGCCACCCTAGGGTTACCGTTCTTTACCTTTCCTTTATTATTATTTCCAAATGATTTTAAAGAAGAATAGTTCGAAAATATTAAATACTATTTTAAATATTAAGATTTTATTTTGGGTCGTCCGCGATCCCACGGTGTTATTGACGCCAAACAAATGGAAGGGTGTCATTCTAGAGTTAATCATTTGCTTATATTAATAATTTAATTTACTCGTTTCTACACATAATGTTCATTCACTGGTACGTGTTCCTTTACTGGTGCATCCAGCCTACGTTAAAAAACGTTAAGCTCTCAATATAAATGTAAACGAAGAACAAAGTCGAGAAATGCATGTAACTCTGCTATTTACTAAACAGTCTGTTATTATGTGATTCAAGTTCGACACTACGACGGGCACTGATTCTCTACATTGTCCGTGAACGTGTGCAGGGAGGTTCTCTCTTTCTCTCTAGAAGCAAGGGTGTCTATTACGGTGCTTGACGCCGATACTTGCCGCTCGTGCCTGCCGTTCTCTTTTTCTTTTTTTCTGTTTTCTTTTTTTTTTTTTTTTTCGGCACGTGTGTGTCAGTGGCTGGCCGTCATTTCTTTGATCTTTTTTATCGAACGGATAATTTAGATTAGAGATTGGAGACTTACTTCCCGCAAATCTTGCAGGGGTAATGAAGTGGGGTGGGCACGGGTGGTTGTTGCTCAGAGCTAGTGTGAGTTTGTGAGTTGGTGTTGACTGTGGCGTGGCCGGTATTGCCGGTTTGGGCGGTTTGGGTGCTCCCGGCCATCGTTACTGTTACACTTCCGCTAAAGCTCTGACAACACAAAGAAACACAAAGCAAAAATAAACAACACAAACAAACAACAACGACGACAGATAAAGTGAACGCCCCCAGTGGTCACGCAGAACGCACAACACGCATGTTTCTCCCTCCCCACCCTTCCCTCCCTGGTCCTTTTGTGAATAGAAAAGCGTGAAGAAACGACAGGTCAACAACAAATCACATGCGACACTTAAACGTTCACACGTATGTACGCATGTATTGTGGTCCTTTTGTAAATACGCGCTGCACGTGCGCCGGATAGCTTGGAAGTCTGGGATCGTTGGTTGTTCACGATACGCTGTCCTGTTAAGTAATTTTCATTTCTATCGTTAATAGCATGTAATGGCAGCTTACTACATCTACCATATGTATTGCAAGTTTTCATTTGTATCCTTCGTCTTTATTTTGTACATTATTTTATCTTTTTCTTGTAGTCTTTTTGTAGTGACTTTGTGTTTATGTAATAAAGACGAGTTATCGTAATAAAATATAATAGTAATTAATACTATTATTATAGCATATTGCTACTAGAATAATATGTTATTAATGCGAGACTTCGTTCCCCATGGAATCGATTAAAATTGAAAATGGTATCCGATCCCAGACTTTTGAGCTGTAGTGTACACCGAGTACGAATCCGATTGATTCAGAGTTTAATATAAAATGATTAAAATTAATTCAAAGGTTCCGGAAATCTTGTTATACGAACAGTGTCACCGCAGGTTTCGTACTCAATATTCATCTGTAAGTAGTCAAGATTATATGGTTCATGGAAAAATACAGACAGGTATTCGAGCGGTCTCGTTAATTATCTAGGAAAATAACACTTAATCGATCTACGCTCTTGTTTAAAAAGTATTAAAGTATCATATCGTGGTATATTCCTAATCAAAAAGCGATGACATTAAGTTACATTTAGCATCTAACAAACATTATTTTGCTGTTCGACGGTGAAACACGCAAGTATCATTATCGTTTCGATTAATTCGTCTCGTTGTATATGTAAAGCTTGTTTAGAACAGAATACGAAAAGTGTTAGAAACAACGATACTCACATCAGGGCAGTCGTATGCGAATAATCTCAGCTCTCCGTCGCTGGTGGTCAGAGTAGCCGAGTTTTCTCTCTCGTTTATTTGTAACTATGCAGAAGATAAATCGTAAAACATATGTAAACGTCACAGGACTACAGAAAATATTCGCCATAAAATATTAATTTGTAACGTCCTTTAAAAATTACAATCAGAAATAATAAACATTTAATTTCGTTACAGATGTCGAACAGAAATCCTGTATATTTACATAAAATAAATGCATCCTCTTATTCAATGTTTCGAAATTTCATAACTATCGAATGAATGACAAATATAAACTATTATTTTTCTTTTAATTTACCGTTCTGTAATAACATCATGATTGTGTCCATTACTTTACTAGCTAATGAAATAATATGAAGCTACATTTTATTTAAACATAAACTTGTATTTCGCTAATAATTACGATACTCCTGGAGTACATGTCTGTTAGACGTACCTACGAGTAATCCACTAATTTTTTAAATTACACAAATATACAGGGTGTTTCGCTTAAAAAGGCCACCTAAATATCTTCTCTACATCTGTGATCATACGAGAAATATTTAGGTATTATCCTAAACACCTGGTAAGTAAAAATGGCATAAAATGGTAGAAAAACGCGAATATAAACGCAATTGCATAAAGCCTTCATTTCCATAGAAACGTATACTGACTTTTTAAAAAAATAGCGGATGTAGTACATTGATTCTTAAAGAAGAAATAAATCGAGGATGATTACTCGACTGAAACTCACCAGAGTACGATGGAGAATCGATTTGTCTTCACCGAAGTCCATCTCCGTGACGGACGCTATGGCGTCGCGAAGCTCCCTCGTGTCCTTGCAATCTTTGCTCTCTGTCTTAATCTTTGGTTTTCCATAGCGGACACGCAGTCTCTTGTACTCGTTCGGGCAAAGCCTCTTCCACAGATAATAGAATTGCACGCACTGTTTCGCGGACTTGCCACCAATGTCCCGCGAGATCGCGGAGAAGTCCTTGTTGTACTTGAGGAGGCCTTGATAAAACACGTCCATCTCCTGCGACGTCCACCGGCCCGACTCCTGGCACTCGTAACTCAGCAACGGATGTTCGACTGGCAATATCGGCGTTGGTCTCATCAGCTTCAACATCGCTTCCTGAAATTACACAGAAATATTCATGTGAAATTACACAGAAAAATTGAAATGTGCGCGTTGAGAATACTCGAATATACAGAGGCAGAAAAAGTATTGATAGTTACAATCGATTAATAATATTATTTTCACTGTAAGACTAAGGGCCATTTCGACCAACTTCGATTAACTTTAACGATAAGCTATACTGCTTATGGAGTTAATCATTGATTAAAGTTAATCGAGTATGTTCATAATTATGTCCATCAAACTCTGCCATAAACAGAAAATTAAATTATTATGAAAGTCGGAAGAAAAGAATTTGTAACTTAGTAGTGTACGGAAAATAACACTGTGAATTCATAATTAGAATCGCCGGTGTACGAATGTTTTTTTCATTCACTGTACATTGTGTTGAACAATAGAATTTAGTACTTGATTTGTTTAAAAGTCACTACTCGATGTAATTGCGATAGAAAAAGTTTCTGTATTATTTATATAATTTCAGTGTTTTTCATTTTGTGCACTGAGACCAGATAACTACCGTATAGCAACATAATTAGGTTTTGAAGAAATTTTTAGATTTTTGAGATTTAGAAGTTAGGTTTTAAAGGGTAATAATAGAAATACGTCATTTAAATTCTACGATTATCGACTATTTAACTTGCATTAAAAATACTAATAACACGAATAAATATAGTCATTTGAATTTTACTCGTTCTAAATTTCCTTAGATGTCTTCTTTTCATTTATATGGAAGTATAGTGCAGTCTATAAGTGTATATTATACAGGTATGTCCCCCTCGATATCATTCAACTTTTGTTTGAAACAATTTCCGGTATCGCAAATAATTTCAGAGATTTTCGAGGGGATCAATTTAAATGGGGCATCCTCTATGTATAAGGTAGTAAAGTAATGTGTATAAAAAGAATATATATTAATTGAAGATACTTACACGAATGTTTCCTCTACACATATGCAACAGATGAAGTGCGTACTCTTTGTTTCTTCCTCCACCTGGTACCGCTGCGCAGCACGCAAATTGCAAATACATCTCAACTGAAAAATAAAGTACCTTCGTTTAAACATACGACGCTTTACAATTGATGTTCATAGTAACAACACACAGACTTTAATTTCACATTCGTACAAAAACAACCCATTCATTTTTGTGTATAAATTCATGTGTTATTAATCAATATGATCATTAAGAGGCTTCTCAACACTTAACCTCGATCGCGAAATTTAAATAAATCGTACGCTATTCATAGTACCAAATAGTATTAAGTTGATACTATTAACACGTTCGCTACCAGGCATCACATATATGTAAGGTGTGTGATTGTGGGTGATTTCCCATAAGCGATATTTTGCGCTGTTTGTTATTAAAAAAACCTTTTAATATTCTACTTTCAAAACCATTGGATTATGTAGTAGAGATTCTGGGAAGCATCCCAAAATTTTTCCACATTTTTGGAAGCTTAAAAGATACAAAGAATAGGTCTGGACATAAAAGACCCAGTGGGTTGATGGAAGCAATAAAAATAACGTGGGTTACGAAGGATTAATATCTAACCAAGAAGGTAAGAACATTTCACTGACGAGCAAACTTAGAGTGGTCTCTGACGAAAATTACCGAAACAATATGGTGGTAGCGAACGTGTTAATGATCATCAAAAACCAAGTACGTACGTTCGTTATCGGTCAGCACGTTATTTATACCAGGATCCCAGAGCAAGTGATCAGCCTCGGGTTCTCCTTTTCCTCTGTCCCCGTCGCTGCCCACCGGTGGTATCGTTGCCTGATACCTCGTCCCGATATTAATCCTAGGCGGTGGTCCATCGTTCCCCTGAGAATCATCCGAACTGAAGTCGGAATCTCTCTCGAATTGATGGAGCCTGGCGTACAATCCTGGGCCAGGACGAGACGGGTCCAATATAGGCGGCGGCGTGTAGCTGCTGTCCCAGTGTCGATCGCAGGCCTTCCTCAGCCTCGACGGATACGAATGGGAGGAGCTGGCATACAGGCCGCCGTCCATGCGTGGCCTTTTTCTACAATGCCGAACAGGACTGCCGGCTGGTATGCTGCTGGGATTAAGAAATACATCGTCGTCCAACAGCTCCTCCTTGATCTGTTCGATCGGGATCGGTAGGCAACCGTGCGTTTTGTGTCTCATGTTATTATGCTTGGCCGTGTTCGTTTGTATAAGAAACTTCGTGGGATTGACGACTTGTTGTTGGTTGAACTGTCCGACGTTGTACTGATGATTCGTCTGCACGTTTAGGCCGAGGTTCACGGTGACAGGTTCGACCTTCGGTGTTGCTAGTCGCATCTCCTTCTTGAAGGTTAACGCGGGGCTCAGAGAGCCGGCTTGAACGAGCACGTTCGTCTTTTGGAGGCTCGCTGTTTGGATCAGCTTGAACTCGCCGTTATTGTCGACGACGATGCCGGCCAGGCTGCCGTTTCCGAGACCGAAATCCACCAGGTTCTGGCTGGTGATGAACTTGTACGACTGGAACTCGAATCTTCTGCGGTTGGCCGTGGTGAAGTCCTTTGGGGTCGACGAGAGCAACGGGTCTTCCGAGTTCGGCATCATCTGGCTCTGGAGCGCGTGATGAGGCGACACGGGGAAACTCGTGCCGGTGTAGGAGACTGGTCCTGGCGAAGATACGGAGGACGGCGGCAAGGAGGACAACGGCGACGGTGCCGGTGTTGCCGATAAAGGGCTTGGCAGTGGCGAGTGTGGGTTCGGCGAACCGGATCCGTAGAGATCCGCGTCCGCGTCCGATTCGCCTGGCAATACTTCGCTGAGTGCCTCCTCGACCGCCGCCGCAGAGGACATTGTCGACGTGTAGAATGCCGCGGACAGGGGAGACGAGACTTGTCTCACGCTTTCCGGGTCCTCTTGCGGGCTAAGCAGAGGCAGACTTCCGGTCAGAAGACCCTCTTGGCTTGCTGGCGGTGTTGGATATGTGAAACTTGGACTGTCGTGTCTGGTTAATGGTGATGGTAATGGGGACTGGGTAGGCAGAGTGTGAGGACTTTCTGTGTATTGGGCACCGTATGTACTGAATTCGGCTAATGAGTCGGGTAACGGTGAGTTCACTAGAGCCTGAAGGTCAGGGTTGACCGTGTGCTGGGAGGAGTATCGATCCTCGAGAGTTATGTCCTGTAGCTGCTCGGTGGGCTGTTCTTGGAGCAGGCTCGCCGTCTGAAACTGCAATAGAGAAGGTCTTGTTAGCTGGTTTTGCGTGTTGAATGCTTAACAGGGTTATAGTTAGGGTATTAAATAAGTTTATCATATTTCGGATAGAAGTATCTAATTGTAATTAATAAACTGTGGATATATGTATTGTACACGATTTCGCAAAAATAAACGTATTACTTTTTGATACATTAAATATTTTTTTGTTTCATTGCACTTTATATTTTTTACATGCTGTATAAATATTAATACAGTTCATAATTCAGTAAGAATTCGAAGACTCGAAGTTTTGAATAATAATAAAAAGGTTCACTTAAATACAAAAGCTAAGATAGTAATTATCTTTTACAAAATAGAAATTCCTGAACTTTATCACTAATGATTTATATCGTGGCCGATACGAAGTAAAAGAGAATAATAAAAAATCCGTACACAGTGATTCGTAACCTGTGATTATAGATCATGTTATGTAAAATAAATGATTAAATTCATAATTCGCTAGAGTATGAAGTGAATTTCACATTTCCAAGGGCGTAGCCAGGTTATCAGTCGGTGGCAAAAATATTAACACATAGACTGCCACAGTGAAAAAGGCCGTACGTAGCCAGACACACTTAATTTTATTTTTAAAGTCATAAATCGTTGATCTGCGTTTTGTTAATACAGGCTGTTGGTCTTGATTCAAATTATACTGTAATATTACATATTACGCAAAAATGTTGTAATTCTGGAAAAGGTGAGGGGCACATTCCCTGTAAAGAAGTCTTTACATTTTACAGTAAATCTTGGATGAGTGTTGGAAGGTTCTTCGGCACTGAACATTAAATATTTCATAAACTAATAGACATACGCGACTGAAAGAAACATCACTGGCCTCAGAATTCCAAGCTCTATCAAACCTCATTAAAAAGTCAGCGTTACATCCGGAGATCTACCCTTGTCATTGCCGATGAGCCTTCGAACATTCATCCAAAATTTACTGTATTTATATTATACCGAAACATTCACAGAACCAAACTTTTCTACCATTCTCAAACACATATATACACCAGATAAGAACTCTAACAATCACCACTAAACAATCATTTAGGCTGTTATTATATGTATTTCCGTCGAATAATTAGCGGACAGTAAGAGTATCTTACTTGTCTGTATCTTAAAAAATTATCCTCATTTCTGGAAGGTCTTTCACCTTAAACTCTACAGTCCCTATACCATTACGTATTTCGCGGTCAAAGGGCAATCCCCCTCCCCAAAAAAAGATTGAATTTAAGAAAGGACCAGGTGGATTTTCCCGAGAAGTTCACGGAATGAATGCGTTTCGAGGGCTCCCGCCATGAGTTGCAGGCATTAGGGTGGAATCTCTGGTATCCGTGGGTCAGACATTAACGAGACTACTCGACGACGAGAGGTTCGGAATCGTAGGAGGGACAAAGTGGGGGATGGTTGATATCTCCCTGGCGCTTTTCAAATGGCACAAAGCGGCATTGCAAGCATCGTTGGTGCAGTCGGTGCCAGCTACTTAGATAATTCGTCTTATTAAATTCTGCGTCGACGACGAGGGCCTGGGGCCCGGTCGTGACGTAATTGAAACTAAAGCGTTTTCAGCGCTCGACGTGGAACGAATAATGAGACGCCGGGGCTAATTAGACCGTCAAAGGATCGCCGGGATATTGTGTTTTAACATGACCGTCGTAAATGCAAATGCCTTCTTTTACGCGTGACTCCTTTCTTACCCCGTTCGCCTTTGTCACCCTATGCCCCGGCCCTCGGATAAAGTTGTAAATTAAGAACCCCGAGAGCGTGCGCGCGCGCGAGTGAGCATCGTGAAAGGAAATGAACGGGGGCTTCGAATTCCGCAGATTTACCAACGCGCTCGGAATTCACGTGAGCATTAGTGAAGTCGAGTGAAGCAAGGTTTTAGGATCGTTGATCTCGACGTGCTAGTTCAGACCTTTGAACCCAGTTGTATTCGTTTTTAAAGGGTAACTTTTATTTCGTTTTTATATACGACATTGAAGGTGTTTTGTAGTCTTCTTTAATTACAGGTAGAAATTTCGTTGAATCCTTAGTAGTACATGCACGCGTTTAAGCCTTTAACACCCAGACCCTTGAATCGTTATTGAAAATTTGTTATTACAAATTGTTATTTAACAATTATGAGTGATATAGGTATATGTCGTATCTTGTTATTTTGAAATCGAAAGCATCGATAAAGACCTATGTATTTTTTAATTTTTTTTATTTATTTTTGGAGCTAATACTTTAATTTCTCAATTGTAAACATGGAGATCTACTTGACATCAGTGAAAGTATTTAAAAGTTTGTTAAAAACCGTACTGTTCGTAAGTATAATAAGGTATTTTTGACTGAAACATTTAAATATTATCCTTGGATACGTATTTCATGAAAATTAATTCTATAGAGGTTTGCGAGAAACTTAAAACCTCGTCTATTGGAAGTTTCGGTGGGAAGATTAATTTGTAATGATACTGTTCGTACAAAAAATAAACTGTTGATTGTTAATGGTACTTATTAATGGAGCATGATAGAAGAGATAAAGGAAATGGAGGTTTTACCTGAAGAGAATCCAACTGAGGAGCATGAAGCAGAACACTATCAGGAACCGCTGTGACCTGCTGGAACACTTCATCTTGAAGACTAGGGCTGAAGTAACCGCCGTCTTCGGAGTAGCCTGTCATGGAGAAATTGTCTGTGACTGTTGGCTGAGATTGCGGCTGACTGTTTTGTTGCTGTTGCTGTTGTTGATTGGTCGTTGGTTGAACTGATGTCTGGTACGTTAAGTGTAATCTCTGTCCGGGATCGGACGTTGCTCTCTTCACAGCCATTTTGGTGGTGCCCTGAAAATTTTCATATTCAACGTTCCATTCTCGTAATGATTGTAAAGCATTACGACCGTATTGTATAATATTTCTTTCAACTAACAAGGGAAGGTTCTGAACCCGAAAATTCTGATTCTAATGAAACTTCGCATAAATGTAGAGCATATTGAATTATGCTTACAGCAATTTTTTTTCCTGCTCGTTTTTACTATGAGGGGTGAAATCAGCCCTTAAGGTTTTCGTGTTTTTTCGTTTTCTTGATATAACACTCCCGTATACGAGTCACTGGATATTTATGCTACTAAGCGGAGAATACGAAAGAGTCAGAGTTAAAAAGTTACTTAAATTATGAAACAAACAAATTATATTCAGTCTTCTGAACAATCTTGAAAATCGTTTTAATTAAAGTGTTTATTTAATTCAGATATATTCATCCGAATGAATCGTGGCACTTTAACAGTGAACTTTTTAAAACAACCCACCTTTGACTCCACTCGAATCAGTCTGTTATTCCTTCCGCTAGTTCGCAATTAATTTTCACTCGTGTTCTTAGTCTTTTTAAATATCAATACCAGAATTATTCGACTATATTCCATTGGTTCCACTATGAACAGCGTTACGAAACCAATTATTAATGTTTAATAATTGTTAAGTAATTCCGAATGATGTTTGAGGTATATGCTCAAAATCACCGTCTTACCGAAAAATCGAATAAATCAGTAAAATTGCTTCAAGAAATTGCATTTCTGTTTCGATTCCCATTTTTTCCAGAACAAGCAAGTGTTCTGTGACTTATGGACGGAGGTGTAATGCGTTCCAAAAATCAAGATAACGCGTTACGAATTACTGAGACGTAAATAAATAAATTCAAAATAAATATACCTTCAAGATCATGTCGGCCAGCGCCTGCGCCTGTGCCTGGGTCTGTGCTTCCTGCAGTTGTTTCTGCACGGTCGCATGACCGCCGACGGTGACGTTCGGCTGCCGGAAGTGTTCGCCATCGGATAGTCTGCGGACCTTCTCCGCAGAGGCCAATGGCGGCGGCGCTGGTACCGCGAAGCTGGTTTTACCGGCGACCTGCGACGCGCTGTCGGGTTGCGTGGTGAAAACAGTCGTGGTTGTGCGCGGCTGTTGATTCGTGTTCGTGTCCGCTGCTAAAATAACACAAAATATATTTAACGTTGACGATAAACCTGATATCCTTGAGTACCGTTCACAGTTACAACCAGGGGTTGAAAACTGTTATAATATCGATTTCGGTTCTTGAGACAGTTTCACAGAACCGTCATTTTCTGTAACAGTTATACAGAACCAAAATTTCCGTCTATATTTATTTCGGTTACGGTTCTTATATCGGTTCTAGGATCATTATTTTTTCGATTCTCATATCAGTTCTACTTCGGTTTTGTACTGGTTATGGTTGTGAATATAATCGTTTCCAATTTTATATTGGTTATATTCCAGTTTTGTAACGATTTTTTATTTACTTCATAGATATCAGTTCAGTATTTTAAGAATAAACATACATATAACAAAATTATAATAACAAAAGTCCACGAAAAAGAAGAACGAAAACTAATGATAATAATAAAAATAACATTGTAATCCGCGCTGACATTCAACATTTTTCATTTTTACTATAATTTAAACGTATTATTCACATGTCATTAGTTAAGCCATGGATATTTGAGGATGTAATAAATTAGACCTCGCCCAGTACTGCGTCGTGGATTAGAGGACATCCCGATATACTTTTATACATACACATATTCGATGATAATTAATTTAAAAATGGAAGAAGAATCCATGTAAGAATGAATACTATTACAATTGCAGTGTACACGATACAATTAAATCCTTTTTGATACTTTGTGTAAATGAGCTTGACAGCGAAACTCTGAAGTCGACACGTAGCATTAGACCCTTTTTAAGTAACTAATTGAAGAGGAGAAACGAGAGCCAGATGAAAAGAGAGAGATCGGGAAACGCGGTAATACGATTTGTCCTTCCACGGCTCGTCCCATACATATTGGCCCCTATTATGACGTTAATACGAATTAATCGTATTGCCGGTTAAGGGAACGCAGTCTCCTACCGGCACGCTCCAGTTTATGGGGAATAAATTATGATGACTGCGAGTTTCTCAACGTGCAGACCGTCCCATCGTTCGTTTCTGCGTTCCTTAATCCGCCCTTTCACGATCGTACCCGGCTGGAATGGGAATAATCTCGCTCGGCAAATGGTTATAACCGTGTCGCTGATAGTACGAAGATGGTTACAATTATTTGGAAAAATCCTGTCTGGGAAAACGTGCTCGATGATCTCGAGCAGAATGGAGTAAGCTGGTTTAAGGGATGGGAATTTCCCAAAAAATTATGAGGAAAATAGGTCTTCTAAAAACGTCCGATTTTAATGATTTCCATACAATTCTTATAAATGCGGTTCTGAATTTTCTCGATGATTTTTGTTGAATTAGAGAAGACTTGATTTGTTTAATGGTACTTTTTTTTATAAACGCAGTTTCAAATTCATCGTTAAACTTTCTTAGTTCGAAGAGTACATATTAATTGTCATATAAAAAATACTTGGACCAATGAATTGTTTGACAGGAAACAAGGTAAGCGAAAATTATAATCCCCCTGAAAATTTAAACTGTTATGAAACATAAAGAACCTTGCTGAGTGCCTACATGGCATAGAATTAGTTATATTACCAATTAAAGGTGCTACAATTTATAGTAAACATTTGTAGTCAATAAAAAGAATATTCAGTAGTATGGCACAATGAACAGTCAGACAAGAGACAGAAAGAGATATTCAAAGTAATATATGAGTATAACCATACCCCTCCAAACTAAATAAGCCTACAAACATACCCGTTTCAACTCAATAAACCCCCAATCATATTCCTCATAACTTAACAAATCTCTAACCATACCCAGGTCTAACTCAATAAGTAGCCAACCATACTCTTAAAAGACCTCTACTACCCAACCAAATAAATCTCTAACAGGGATCCAGCAACTCCATTTTAATCCTCCCTTTCTGTAATCTGACCTGCAAAGTGTAAATCTGACGAAACCTCTGAACGCTGTAACTACCAGTTTGCCCCTAAAAAATGTGTTACAATGCCACTTAAGAACTTACTTTCTCATTCTACACGCCCTCACGAACCGCAGTAGAATAAAGGAGTCGCATCCCATTGATATTTCCGTTCACGATTGATGTTAGGCGCGTCCAACGAAGACACAGTATTGGTCGGTGAAAAATATATTTTATAGCGCGGGGCATCGTTTACGACCGACACCCCTGGACAGGTATAAATGCGTGCGCATCCCCCGGTCCGACACGACGTTGCGCTCGGAGCAACCCGAAAGGAAATGGGATCCGTCTTCTCGTCGCGGTTGTGTATCGCGAAGCGGAAACTTTTCCACGACGATTTCATGAATATCTGGCCGCGTCCTGCTGGCTGCCAGCCCACCGGCAACCTACTTCCTGCTTTTTTATCTCCCCTCCCCTCCTCTCTCACCCTCGTTTCGCCCTCGTATTATACCGATCGTCGCTCGCCGTTCGAAGCGTTTTTACCCATCGCCGGGTCAGGTCCACGCTAATAAATCAACCGAAAGAAATTAATATCCGCTCACCTCCGAACGACCCACCCCCATCCTCCCCGCCCCGTTGCTCGACTATCGCTGTTCAGACGTAAATTGAAATTGTTGCGAGCGCTTTTATCCCGCGAATGGAAATAGAAATCACGGGTACGATCGATCGCGATGTAATTTCTCGCGTGTAAATTCACGGTTACGGGGCAGCGCCTTTTATTCGGTTCCCAAAGTCGCGGAATTCTGCATTCAATCCCGATCGAGATCCGTTGATTTATATAACGCGGCCCGTGACGTTTGCCTGCGAAATTTCTGCCTGCCGCGGAATAAACAGTTATTCATTAGAGAGCTAAGGATTAGTAGTCTGAAGTAAGGCGGTTTCTATTCTGTTCGGATCGTTCTGTTTCGAACGATTTTTTTTTTTTTTTTTCGTGTAAGTCATATCAATGTGTTATTTCAATTTTGGAATTGATTGTTTAGGATTTTATTGCTGTTTAACCCACTAGGACTTAACGTTGGGTTAACGCGACATTTTCCTTGCAATTTTTGAATTTAGAGCACTCAATTCTATTTTTTATGTTGTGGTTATGAAACAGGATTTCAGAGATTTTCTTAATATTTTGTTCGTTAGTATTTCCACTTCTATTTAGATCCTACGACGTTTTGAAATTTGAAGAAATTGAAGTATTTATTTATAGCACTATGATAAACTAATTTTTTTTCTTAAATCATGGAAATTTTTTAGTGTATCTTTCTTATGTAGTGGGCTTCTATAACACGATGTCTTGTATTATAAGGCACCTATATTTCGGCAAAATATGTAATATGTAAGTTATTTTATGTATATTGTTATTAAGTTGCATACACAATATTTTGTTATACAAAAACTACCGATCCAAACATTTTTTTGATAGCATTCATATTCTTTTTTATACACTTTTATAGGTAATAAATAATTATGTGTGTAAAAATCGTTTTATTTCCCTGCTTGGGACTTAATCGGTTAAAGTTTTCAGGTGTAAGGTAGCGTAGGTGTAATTATTTTCTCGTAAAGATATATTTATCCAAAGAATTTTGTAAGCTAATAATAAAAAAAAATATGAAAGACTAATTGTTTTCCAAGTGTAACAAAATACATGTGAATTGTAAAAATATTCAAATAGCATATTCATATAATTATCAATCATTTAGATAGTAATCGTTGTTGTTTGTATATACAAAAAAAATCATATACATAGTACAACATAAAAATCCGTTTGCATAACAAGTGCAAGAGTTACCAATCGATTTTTTAACTTTCTTTGGTAAAACTTTAAATCATAGAATCATCCGACGCCTTTTTTGGAATCCCTAATTTCTATATTCGTGTAAAACTCGCAAAATGTAATTTGTCGTCAATTATAATTTTATTCTGATGTCACATTTAAAACTAAATGTAAGGGAAACTAGAACATCAATGAATCAGCCGCTTACTATCAACTTGTCAAAATGCATCTGTTACGATTTTTCACCGGAAATATTCTTGCATAACTATATACACAAATCGCAAATCCATTTGACGTCGGTGCTTTTCTATAGCAAGCGTAACGACGTAAATCCTCGTGGACAAAACCGCCGGGGATTTTTGCAAATTGCCAATCATCGGTCGCGGTAAAACAGATTGTTCTCGACGAAGCGGACGCGAGTCCATCTCCCGGTTGTTGTTTTCACTTCTCGGTGGAGAAATTGTTGCGGTTCTTGCCAAGTTCGCGAGAACTCTTGCCAACGACAGGGGTGAGAAATTTATCGGCGGTTTTGTATGATCGAAAAATGACAGGCGAATGGTAACCTCGTTTTATTCGTTCAGATTGAACGATTAAATGAACGATAGAAAACTACGAAGAATCATGTAAATAGTTTTAAAAATGTTGTAACTCCAATTGAAATAACAGGCAAGAAGTGCAGTGAAAATTTAGGCAAAAAGTGTCATAAAAATTGAATTTTTTGTAACAATTAGGTTCGCGAAATAAGACATATTATTGCCTTTTGTTGTAACAAGTAATTTTTTATAAATCGATTTTTATACTTCCACGTGTTTGGTAAATATTGCCCAAATTAATCAAATCTATTACAGTTTAAGTACGATATTAATTATTAAGGTAATGTTTAAATTTAAATATACAGAAACTAAGCGGAAAGATAAGATTGGAATTTTGAATAGGTTCTGTAAGCGACACTTTTTAGAATTCTTGAATTATCGACAAAATCAGTGACTACAATTGAAAAAAGAAAATAACTATACACGGCGTGGCATAACTATAAAACCACCCTAAAATTCTCAATTTAGGAACTTTTTTTTCAAAAAAAAGAACAGGATGGTTTATATTCTCTGAAAAAGGGGTTCGTTTTTATTTTAAGCACAATACATAAAAATAGAAAATTTTAGGGTGGTTTTATAGTTATATCACGCAATGTATTTGGAGCATAAAATTCTATCGAAAAATCACGTAATTGTAATTAAATTTCGTAATCATGATGGTAAGAAAGTAGCACTTTCATTTACCGAATATTTTCAGTTTTTGATTCATATTTAATGTAGCGCAAGATGATTTCGATGAAATATACGCGGAGATTGAATATACACCGTGTATTTTATTAGCGAGTATATGGGACACGATTTAGGGGACGCTTTAAATTATCTTTACGAGGCGAATTCTTTATCGATTTGCCAAAACTTTTCGCATCGATCAGCAGATAATCGCAATATTTTACGGGTCCTCCATAACCGGTGCCGCCATCTTATCATACTTTTCATTGGATTGCACGGATGCAGCCGGCATCGAGTAATGCATCGTCAGCAATGGCTCGTATTCCACATGGGTGCTCGATAAATTCTCTGTAAATCGGCGATTATTCTTTTTTGAACGATTTTATTATTATTTGTTCGAGAAATCAATATTTCCATGAATCAATTTGCAAATATTTTTTTAAATATGTATTAGACAATACATTATCAATAAGTAATGCACTACTTTTTTTTAAATTGATCGATTATTTTTAATAAAATTGGGACCCTATGCTGTGTCAGTTATACTTATCTTTATTTTTCGAGATCTTAGGAGGAAACAGGAATGGAAGATGTTTGCACTTTAAATTATGACAGGAGTTTGTTAAGAAAAACAGGATTATTTACTTGTAGACCTAATATAATATACTTTGTAGCATTCCTGGAAATGATACATACTATTCTAATAATTCTTACCAAGCAGCGTGCATGTGGGTATTAGTTTATTATACTACAATAAATTATTTAGACTATCAAAATTTGCAGTAGTTTTAACGTAGACGTTTAATACATTGCAGTTATAATTACTTTTAATGTAATACTTTGTTTTATTAAATTAATATACAGGGTGTTATGTACCTGATTGTACAATCGGGTACAGGTTGATTTAACATAAAAAAATAAGTCGAAAATATAGAATAAATTTTTTCATTCGAACTTCGTTTTCGAAAAAAGTGACTTGGAAAATCTGCTGGATACGCGTGCAATTGAATAAGGCTTGGCTATCACGCCTGTTCATTGCATACTGTTTCTACTTACTACAATGGCGAATACACGTGTGTTAGATTGTGAATATTCAAAGTCAATTTTCTCGAAAACGAAGTCTCAAATGAACAAATTTTATTCTATATTTTCGACTTATTTTTTCACGTAGAATCACCCCCTTCTCTGTTATACCACCCTATTACACCACACCCTGTATAATTATTAAAATATAATTGACAATGTTCCGTTATTAATAAATTTAAATATTTGCCGAAAAAGAAAGAAATTATATACAAAAGACCATGTTTTCTTGTCTAGTCGTGGTCAAAAATGGCTGCAGAACGAAAGATCGATCGATAAATAATTTTCCGAGAGCGTTCATCGGGAACGATTCGTTGCTGAGGACACATTCGCGTCGGTGCGCCGAGCCTCGTCACACCGGCCGTTGTCCACGGATTGATGCAATTAGAGGAGGATTCTCGGTCGAGCCAACCCGTCGACGAGGCAATGTTTCGGTCAAATTCTCAGGAGGAATGTGAAGCTAAAAGCACGACGATTCGTCGTTGACGTGCAAATTCGACGCGATCATTCGGAATAGAATTCTCGGAACTTTTCCGAGCGGAATCGAAGTATATTGTTCTCTCTTTCGATTTCCAATTTCACAATATTTGGTTCGTGAATAATTAGATTATGAAGAACGCAGGAAATAGAAAAAATACTAAATTAGAAATACGAGTGCCTACACAAAGTGTAGAATTTCATGGTAGAATTTCGGAATTATGTTCATTTCGTGGTAATTCAGAAAATGTAGGTGCTATCTCAAAGTAGCACACAAGAATAATAAAGAATTTTCTTTAGATCCATATTGTTCTTATAATCTCAAATCACAGGCACGGTAATTTATTCTACACACTTATTTAAAATCAGGGTTCATATCAGAGTGAACTTGATATTATTGCATATTCTGTAAAGATAACAAATGTACTTATTATTTCCTAAAATATAATCAGTTCTTCTATTCTATGTCTTTCCTTTCTCCAGAACAATTCTTATTACATTTGATATGGACATAAACAATTTCTACTATGATCATACTAATTTTAATTCGATTAACTAGTTTCTGGAAGTTAGCAACGATTAAGTATGTCTCGGTAATGTAATATTCGCTTATCTTATCTTCATCGCTACATCTATTTCACACTATATCATTAGGTCTGCCTACAGCTATCCTTTCTAGCACGTCTTGCTAAAGTAAAACATGCTCATCTATCTTCATCTATTTCACACTATATTACTACATCTGCCTATATCCAGTAAAATCCTCGATGGGTGTTCGAAGGCTCCTCGGCACTGAACATTAAATATTTCATAAACTAATAGCCACACACGATTGAAACAAATATCATTGGCTTCAGAATTTCAAGCTTTATCATTACACCAAACCTCATTAAAAAGTCAACATTACACCTGGGGATTCTCCTTGTCATTGTCGAGCAGCCTTCGAACACTGATCGAGGATTTACTGTATACCCTTTCTAGCACGTCTCGCTAAAGTAAAACACGTTCATCTACCCTCATCGTTACATCTACATCACACTATACTACTACATCAGTCTACATCTACCCTTATCAGGTTCCCACAAGAAAACACTGAAACCATACAACAAAGAATGCACCAAAACCTCCTCATTTATCCAGAAGTCAGTGAATCAAGCATCAACAAAAAATAAAAAGAAACGAAAAAACCCCCAGTTCTCGTCCTACACTTCCGGTCGGAAAAACCGTTTGTGTACCAGGGCGTTAATTCCGCCAGATTAATTTCAATACACCGAAAGGGGTGGGGGGGTTGGGAGGCAGAGGTTCCGCGAAGAATCCGCGCAAAAGGAACGGATAGTTTCTGTCCTTCCCCCCCGTTACTCCTGGCAGCGGTCGCCAACGAAATAGCGCATAAATCGCTAACGACGCACACTTTGTTACAAAAGCTCGGCCTCCACCCCCTCCCCCTTTTCACCCCTCAGTCCTGACTTGATTTATCGTTCCAACGTGGACAATGCGAGAAATATTCTGGCGTGCTCGCTTCGTAAATCACGATTCTTCGGCAGTCCATAGCGCGCGCGCGCGCGCGCACCCGAGCGGAGGAGCGATTCCTCGCCCCGGTTGAATATCACGCGAGCTGCTTCTGGCAAATGTACACGCTCCGAGGGATAGATGAACAACGAAGGGAAAGACGAACGGGACAGGGGAAGGGAGAGGGTTGGTGGATCTAGGGGATGGGCAGATACGGGCGAATTGAGATACGTCGCGGGCTACATAAATCATCGGAATCGCGTCCGCGAATTCTGTGTTCTCAGCGTCTGACTGAGAGAGAGAGAGAGAGAGAGGTATGACGATCGGATTAATATTTCTTCGACGGAAACAATCCACTTCGGAGGGTTGTTTGTGTATTTTCGCGCGACGCGATTAATGTTGTTTCTTTGGGGTCGGATTCGATTGTTTTGAGTGATATAACGGTGTGGCTCGGAAGTACAGTAGGATCACCTGTAACGTGGAAGATACACTATTGGTCAAAAGTATGGGACCAGGTCTGATAATTAAGAAAAGAGAAAATATTATTCTAGAAAGGTATGATAAAAGTTGGTGTGCTAAAACTGATTGGATATTATTTGTAGGTATATTGACAGGGGCGGTCCAGGGTTGTTGTCCGTTCGGGTGCAAAAACATTATCGCTGCCTTTATCAAGTTTAATGTTATTTAATTAAGAATTTTATATGAAGCGTTTACTTATATAAGTACGAAACTAACGTATAATATTTGTAATAATGATGTTATGATTGATAAATAGCAACCATTAATTACGTACACGAATTTAATCCAATAAATATAGCTGAATGTCTTATGCTATTTTGGGCTGCCCATAAAGATAGTTTGGTTGATTGAATTCTGTTTGTCTACAATTTTAATGCTATTTATTTTTGTCAATTATATGTTGGATATGGTCATGAAATTTTATGATAAATTAATTTTAGTTCAGAGGGGGGAGAAGAAAGATCATTAATTTCTTTCTTTTAAGTTCTGCAGGTATAGCAATATTCATTTTACAGTATTCTTAAACCATGAAACTTTATACAACGAGATTACTTTAAGATTCATCTTTGTGGAAACGAAACTGACATTATACTTCAATCCAGTCGTACTTTCGTAAAATTTGAGGGAAGAACAGCTATTTCACTTTTTCATTCATGTACGATTAAGGTGTTATTTTCTGTTTCAAAAGATCGAATACTACTTAGATTACAAGAGGATCCACTCGCGAAACCATAATAGCGTTTTAGACCAAGTAACCACAACACCTAACCATTATTACAAGGATTCTGCGTGAGCAGATACCACGTCTGTCCGTTGAGCATATTTAAGGCGAAGTTAACGTAACCTGACAGTTAATATAACTCGGTCTGTTCCTTATGATTACAGCTGGGAAAATGTATGAGGGCGAGGGACAAGAATAGGAGACAGCGACCGAAAGGGAAGGCACAGATAGTCCAATCGAGATACGTTCTTGGAGCACCATAAATCATCGAAATCATATTCCACAGCTCTGTGAATTTTCACATTAGGTACCTACTATTATATCAGTACCATTACTTTAATTACATTTAACTTTGCAACATTAAAACAGTTGAGTATTTTTATTTGTTCTTGAATATTAAATTGAATTGTAAAAAGAAGCATAGGTATATATTACGTGTTTTATTTCACGTGTATTGTATTATTCGCATAATTTTGTGATATTATAGACTGCAAGACTTTCACACGAGCATATATCAAATATATTAAGCAGAACTTACCAGTGGTCCTTTTCTGTATAATCTTCTCCTCGATGAGTGCTCTCACGCTGACTGATGCGGTCTGCAACGGCGGACCGACCACCTCTTTCTTCTCGCTTTTCTTGTTCTCGGCGTCCTGAAACAATGAAAAAAATCAAAAACAGTCAATAACATTGATTTACCTCTGTGACGCAGTTTGTTATACCTTAACTTACATTAATTAACCCTCGGGAAGCGGACGACGAGACAGTCGCGTGCAAGGCGGGCCCGGGTCAGTTCTGACCCATAGTAAAGTTTCTCTTGTGTGTGTTGCAAAACAGATTTTCACATGAGAATATTACTTTTCTTATTCGTATTTTCATTATTTCTTGTCAAAAGAATAGTAACAATTTAAGGGAAAGGTGTGTATATTTTGTATATTATAAATCGAGGAATATTTATTCTTGCAGGTCGGTACAATTCATACATAAAATGCTTCACTGCGTGATTGCACAAACTGACTCCTTTTCAACCCCCCTCCCCCTGGAATAGTTCGAAATTTGTCTTTCCTAGTCGCTTGTGTGCTGAATACACTAAATTCGCGATAACTGCCTGCTGGATAAATATCTATATATATAGTGTTGTACACACGTGCGCACCCTACTCTCTGTCGTCTTTTGTAACCAAGAATTGGTCTTTCAACTCATGCTATTGGCTCTCGATAATTACCCGTTCCTGGAATTGCCCACCTCGAGAGCTTCCAATGCGGGTAATTATCGCGAGGTTACTGTACTGCCTACAAAGTGTTTCCTTTGAATGCATGTGACTTTTTTTATCGCTAGGTCACGGAAGAGTGGAAGAGTTTGAGTTACAGGACTCGTTGAGATGCACGGGTTAAACTGTGACGTAAAACAAAGCCATGGGTCACGAGTGACCCGGCGTCCGCCGGCGGAGGGTTAATCATTAACATTCTTTATTAAAGGTAAAGGTTTATAAAAGGTAATGCACGAAGGAACGTTGACATTGCAATTGTAATATGTTAACCTGGGAAAACCAGTCAACTTGTCATCGTTTCTTGTTCATATTTACGGCGATCAGTTTTACATTTTCTATTTTACTTACCGAAATATAGCTTTATTCGATCATATCAGATTTATTTGCTTTATTCGTGACGCAAGATGTGTCAGATAGTTTTTATTTATTTCTAATTGTATCTGTCTGAGCATTTGCGAAGGAAGAGTTATCTCGTTAACAATGCGATAGATGTGACTATATCGAAATGCATAAATACAGAATTTACTGTAGATTGCTACCAGACGTTTCTACATAGTACTGTGAAAATCTCGTTGGAACCAAAATCCGGGTTAGGTATTGCAACAAAGTTGCGTTGCGCAATAGAAGACGCCGCTTGACCTCGACTAGAATTCGCGAATCGTCTGGGTAATCTAATTTTACATGCCTCGTTACCCGACGAAAGATTAGAGGATGTTTGGGTCAGAGATTGGAAAATTCATTATTTAGATAAAGAGTTTCGAGTAACGAACAAAAGAAAAAAAAAAGTATTTCAACATTTAATTGCTGAAATGTGGAAGTTTCAATTTTTGTAGTATAATAACATTATTTCTCGCATAAATAGAAATTTGGCAAACAATTTTTTTATCTCGTTAACTGGTTAAATGTCATTATGGCGATGAAAAAAAATCATATAAAATTCAACCCAACTCTGCATTAAGTACCACAAGAGAAGTGGAATGAGACAGCAGAGATCAGACATTTCAGAGTAGATTATACAAGAAAAAGAGCAAGAAGATACAGGTAACAATTCAAGGACTGAGGGGAGGAGACTGAATGGCAGCACAAAAGAAGTAAGTTGCAAATGGTTGTTACTGAAAACTTTTAGTTCAACTTTAATAGGTCGACTCTTCATAATTCTTAATGTCCGAATTTTGTACGTGTCTGGGTCGATACGATCATAGACATAGAAATATATTCGTCGTCATCCTGGGCCAGCGTTCCAGCTTTACAAAAAGACAGGTTGCTATCGGAGGATCTGCTATGTCTTTCTGATATAGCTGAGTCAACCAATCAAAACCCAGACCCCTATAACCAAGCTGCACCTGGATCTGGACATTAAATCCTCGTGGCCTGTCTATCCGATCGCAATCTTCGTACACTCGAACGTTTCAGGGAAGCCTCCGAACACCCTGTCTCGTTCATCACTGGCCATTTCGTTAATCGGAAACGCGTCCTCATGGGTAGAGGTGGGGGATGATGCACCAAGGATACTTCGATCGGAGTCTAGCGCAGATTAGTGGTCCCGATGAAACGAAGGGTTAATTGTTCCAGGCTTCGCGTAATTAGGATACGTCCACGTCGGACGAGCATATATATCTTCGTTCCACGTTCGCGGTTCCGTCCCCTTCGAGGAACCATGTGTCACCGTTCCGTGACACACACTCGCCCTTCTACCCCGACATCGTCATCTTGATCAGGCTCCTAAATGGCGTGAGCTCTGGGCCGGTAATCGCTGATCGTCATCGTGCTCCTCAATTTCCTATTCGCTACTTCGATATGTAGCCGCCGTATATGCCGTCCGTTTCTGCATCCTTCATAAGCCACCCCACCTTGTATATATATCACCGCTCACGAAATTGAACTCTGTCTTTGACGTGGCGTACCGCGTTCGCTTCATGAATATTGATCGGCGGCCGTTAATGCGCGAAATTGATTGCCGAACGCTCGCCGGCTCCGACTCATCAATTCGATCCGTGTCGATTCCAGCCCCCCCCCCCCCCCCCCCTGGACGAACCCTTGTACGGTAATGCACGTTCAATTCTTTTCTTTTTTTCTCGCGCCGATTTTAATTGGGAGCATCGTTCCCCTCTCACCACCACGTGTACGTGTTCGTCGAACCTTTTCGCGACGGGTTTTCATTTTTCTTGGTTCTATAAACTTTTTTTTTCGATGTTTATTCCCTTCGTTTTTACCTGCTCGGTTGTTGATTGCTGAACGACGACGGGGTGGAACCGGGACCGTGGGATTTCACGGGTTGGAGATAATTGTGCGTGCGTGGTTTGGGGGAAGATATGTAGTACGGTGTTGATGATTGTTTTAAGGGGGTGTCAATGGGGCAGGGTGGAGAAGCGAAGATAATCCGTGCGGTAAATTTTAGGCGTTTCGTGAACACGAAGAGGGAGAACTTCTGATTGTAAATAGGGGACAGAGAGTGGATGTTTCTGTTATTTTTGTATTTTTTAATAGAGAATGCGTGGCGGATAGATTATTTGAGCTTGGCCAGACTATAATTATCTAGTAGAAGTAGAGTTTGTTTGTATGAATTTTATGTTATGATTGTTTACCGTGTCGGATTTTAGGACGTTTCTAAATCCCCCAATGTGCATGCCGTGAACATTTTAACTTAATTTTTAAGTCGGTTAAATGAATTAAGATCATTTTTAGACGAAACATATAATTCTCCTAGAATACATGCCTGGAGAATCCTTCAATTTAACACTTCGACTGCAACAGTGAAAATGGCCGTACGTAGCCAGACACACTTTACCTCGTTTTTTAAAGTCATAAATCGTCGAAAATATACGCGTATAGTTAACAGAGACTGTTGGTCTTGTTTTAAGTTATACTGCGATCTTAAATGTACGCAAAAATTTTATAACAATATTTAGATAACCCAGCTTCTTTGCAATGCACGTGTCACCCATATTTGGGTGACGTGGCAGTCAAAGTGTTAAATGTAGATACTCTGAATACTAGGGAACTGGAATGAACGAAACTAGAAATGAGGAATTATGGATAATATTTTTTATACATATTTTCTATGGGAAAAATATATATATGGTAATATATTGGAAAATTCTCTTTAGAATAAATTAAAAAGTTAATTTTCATAGACGTGACCAGAAGCAAAATCCAACCAAAAGCTGACATTGTTTAATAAACGAGTACTGAAAATTCCATAAAACTTCTCGCATCTTGTGTTTTATGTTTTAACCGATCAACCAAAAATTATCATTTGAAACTTTAATCTGACTTTCTAAAGAAGACATCTACGTCATCATAGTTTACCACGAACTAATAAACGTGGAAAAATTGTACCATTTAACAATAAGGTGAAATTAAAGTCTAAAAATGAAAGAACAAAAATACCCAGAACTCATGTAGTAAAATCAACAATTTTCGTTTGATTTCCTACTATTTTTCTTTTAAATGCGAAAACGAACCAATTCTATTTATCCGAGAATTAAGCTTTAATCGGTTCCACCGACGCGCGAGTCTACGCTTTCCAGCTTACGTTAAAAATATTCGCCGAGATATATTCATCGGGATCAGTCCGGCGAGCATTTTTGTATTACTCGAAACGTCAACGAATCCCCTTAATCCCCCGTTCCCACGTAACGTCAGCCGACAAAACCTTAAACCGCTCTCTCGTCCGGCGCTACAATTTCCGCCCATGGGATTCAGACGCAGCTGCCAATTTCACCGACACATTCGTCTGACTTGTGATGTCGAGGTTTCGACGAGGATCGACTATTCGCGTTCTCTCGATTTTTTCGTAACAATTGTTAACCCCTCCCATGCATCCCTGTGGATTTTATGCATTTATAGTGTGTACCTGATCGTTTGAAATTCAGTATATCAAAAAGTTCAATAAATTTCAATACCATTGTCATTTTATCTGGGATTCCGCCAGAGCCTTTATTGTAGGAAAGAAATTTCCGTTTGCTTCAATTTTTTGTAAATAAATCTGTAAAGATCGATATGTGTATAAAAATTCGCTGCTCACTAACAGTCTAATATTGTCTATTGACCGTCACGTGAATACTAGAGATAGCGTGAACTGCTACTTTCATTCGTATTTCATATTTATAATCGATTCCTCTACTTCATAAGCGCCCGGTTTCAGTCCCAATTTTCGGGCAGTAATCCAACTTCTACTGTATTAATATTCAATAGTTGACCCTTTGACTGCGGTAAACTTTAACTAAAAACAATCAGCATGTGCGGCTGGATATTCACTTGACACATTGTGAGGGCGTATATAATACACTTTTCGTATACAGTAAATCCTCGATGAGTGATCGAAGACTCCTCGGCACTGACAAAGACAGATTCCCAGGTGTAACGCTGACTTTTTAATGA